AGAGGCCACAGCAGTGAGAGGCCCACGTACTGCAAAAAAAAAACAAAAAACCCAAAGAAACATCAGTTCATTACCCCAAAATAATTGAAAATGTTACCGATTTTCTGCAGTCTCTTAAGAAAACACCAAATAGTCACAATGTACTGCAACTCTTCTTGAATTATCTTTCCCATCTTTCTCCTCTTCTCATCCACCTACACATGGCACTTGCTTCCCTAAAGCTCTCTGCACCCCCTTCCATACTCTCTCCAGATCTCCTAGTTCTGCTGCTGCTTGTCCCCTTCCTCTCCTGCACAGCTCAGTTCTTAATTATGTAGCTCTCCAGAATGTTTCATTTTACTCTATAGCACAAATAAAGTGGCAAAGAATGACAGAAAGCTCCTAGGGTACAGTGGCCAGAAACACATTCCACAGCGACCCAGCCCAAGCCTTCTCTGCCAGCCTGGACCAGTTTCTCTGAGATGACTCATTTTCCCACCGATGGTTTACTCCCCCATCACTTCCTCTTCTGCCCACTGCTCCCAAGGGCCAAGGTCTGGGAGAAGCTCATGACTGAGGCTGGCAGAGAAGAAAACATTTTGCTTGGATGCCAGAGGGGACTGATGTCATAGGGAAAGGGAGGAAACCAGATGGGCAGGTTCGTAGAATGTTTTATCCCCAGTGTTGCTTTATTATTTTTTACTGGGCACTGCCCTACTCCCTAGTAGGGAGTAAACGGCTTGCTGTGGGAAATGCATTAACTCTTCACAGTCTGCCAAGGCCAAAGGTTTCTTTTCAATGTGAAGACAATCCCACTGGTGCCATTCTTATCATCATATTAGGAATAATGAACTTTATTGAGCTCCCATACAGCTTAAGTGAAAGCCCCGCCCTGTGGGAAGGGCAGGCCTATCCCATGTATCAGAGGACTCCAATGTCCATCCACCATCACCTGGTCATGCACCTGGAATTCTGTTCTCAGAGAGGGCACGTAGAGCCTAGAGTCATCACACTTCTTATCCTTCCTTCTTACCTCCTTCACACGTATCTGAACTCATCGTTGTTCATCCTCTTGCAGATCAGTTCCTTCTGCTTTATTCCCTGTCTCAGAATGATACCACTGCCTAGCCAGTACCCCAAGCCAGAAACCTGGCAGTGAACCTGGACTCCTCCTCCTTCCTCAGCTCCCACGACCAATCTATCTCCAAGTCCTATGATTTTTGTCCTTGGAATATCTCATCTCCTTAGCATCTATCTCTATCACCTTACATCAGACCACTGGCATCTCTTACTTGGATGACGGCAGTGGTCTCCCCATTGGTGTCTCCCTGGACCCAATCCCATGTTACATCCCCATGTAACCTGCTAGTCAATAGGCCACCCAAGGCTATCCCTGTTCTTACCTATACTCACCTCTGGGCTAATCTGAGCACACTGTCATATCTTCCCGGAACAATATGAATCCAACTCTAAAATCATTAATGTATAATGCAGATTTTTTTTTTTTTTTTTTTTTTGCGGTACGCGGGCCTCTCACTGCTGTGGCCTCTCCCGTTGCGGAGCACAGGCTCCGGACACGCAGGCTCAGCGGCCATGGCTCACGGGCCCAGCCGCTCCGCGGCATGCGGGATCTTCCCAGACCGGGGCATGAACCTGCGTCCCCTGCATCGGCAGGCGGACTCTCAACTACTGCGCCACCAGGGAAGCCCGATAATGCAGATATTTTAATGAAGTCACAGGAGGGGGCTTACACTGCGATTACACAGCAATACTTCCTACACTGACCCTTTAATTATCTCTCCTCTTTCCCCAAGTTTCCCTATAATGGCAGCTGCTGCCACATCTCTCCCTGACTCCCTTTCCTTTCCCTACTATCCTGCAGCTACCCTCCATTCAAATTAGCTCTCAGTCTCCTCCCCTACTCGTTATCTCCCGTCCAGTCAGCTGCCACTTCCTTCTGAGAAGGTCTCATCCCAACATAACTCCTTAAAACCCTTCAATGGCTACTCACTGCCCTCAGTAGAGTCCAAACTCCATAATACAGTCTACTAGGCCTTGGCGGCCCCGGCCCCAGCTCCTTTGCCCTCCATTTTCCTACTTGAACTCTTTGCCCCAGCCATATTGTAGGGAGGTGGGGTTCGCCCCTGGTCTACCATAATCTCATGATCTGAGCAATTGCTCATGCTGTCCTTTTTGTCTGAAAAGCCTTCTCCTTCCCTACGTTTAACTCCTACTGGTCCCTCAGGGCTCAACCTAAATATCTCCTCCTGGAAGCCTCCCTTATAATCTCTAAAACTGCATTAGGTGGCCTCACAGCAGTTTACCCTTATCACAACTGTGCTCTAAATTGACTGTTTGAATAACAACTTGAATATAACACCTTGAGGACAGAATGGTATTACTGCATGCAACCAGGGCCTAAATTATAGCATGCACTTGATGACGTTGAATAACCAGATGGGCAAAAGCTCAAAAGGGTGACCCTCCTTAGCATCTGTGGCCTTAGTAGAGAATGGAGTGCATGGGCCTCTTTAGCATTACGTCCTAATTTGGGCTTCATCTGGGTTCTAACTTGCAAAGGTTAGTACCTGGGCTCACAGAAACAAAATCCACCTTTGGGGTTCCCTGGATGATGCCTCCTAGCAATTTAGCTGCCTTCCTCCTAATCCAGAAAGGCTGTACTTGTCATATCCCCAGATCTGGGCACATTTTCTAGGCTACATATGAACTTCTTTGGTGATCACAAGCTGCAAGACTTTGCACCAGACGAGTTGAATCATTACTATTTACACCTAGAGTTCTGTTAGGTCACTTAGCTGACTCCACCTCTCTCTCCCTAGGAGACTACCCAACTGCCTCCATCTGCATATTCCAGGCAACAATCAGGTAGGAGTGGCAGGACTCAGAGGGTGGTGTTAGTACACCTAAGCACCCCCCCAAATGAGGAGGCATCTGGACTTTAGGATGCCTTTAGGATACATAAGCTCCTATATACTCTGGCCAGGGCTCTTTCCTGCTTGCTTTCTGAAGGCCAGGAAAGAACAACTAGAAGTTTTACATAATCCAGAATACAACAGATGGTTCTGATTGTTTTATTTTAGAAATAATTTATTTTTTATTCCAATTATGAAAGTAGTACATGCTAATTACAGAGAATTTCATAAACACAGAAAAGCACAAATAAAAATATAGAAATCAGGGAACTTCCCTGGTGGCGCAGTGTTTAGGAATCTGCCTGCCAATGCAGGGGACACAGGTTGGATCCCTGGTCTGGGAAGATCCCACATGCCGCGGAGCAACTAAGCCCGTGCAAAACTACTGAGACTGCGCTCCAGAGCACCTGAGCCACAAATACTGAGCCTTGTGTGCCACAACTAGTGAAGCCCGCGCTCTGAAACAAGAGAAGTCACCACGATGTGAAGCCGGCGCACTGCAATGAAGAGTTGCCCCTGCTCGCCACTAGAGAAAGCCGGCAAGCAGCAACGAAGACCTAACGCAGCCAATAAATAAATAAATAAATTTACAAATTAAATATTTGGTTTTATTCTCTTGCTATTGCTAGCACTAACAGAGTTTGTTTTTGTTTCATAACTCCCCCCAACATTTTATTATAAAAGTTTTCAAATATACAGAAAGGTTGAAAGAATGGTACAGTGAACACACTGAATACACCCACCATCTAGATTCTACTAGTTCTACTAGTTAACCCACCATCTAGTTAACGTTCTACTGTATTTGCTTTCTCATGCATCTACCCATCCATCAATCCACAGAGGTTTCTTTTTTTTTAAATAAATTTATTAATTTTATTTATTTATTTTTGGCTGCGTTGGGTCTTCATTGCTGCGCGTGTGGGCTTTCTCTAGTTGCGGAGAGCGGGGGCTACTCTTCGTTGATGTGCACGCGGGCTTCAGTAGATGTGCTCGCGGGCTCTAGAGCGCAGGCGCACGGGCTTAGTTGCTCCATGGCATGTGGGATCTTCCCGGAACAGGGCTCGAACCCATGTCCCCTGCACTGGCAGGCGGATTCTTAACCACTGCGCCACCAGGGAAGCCCCAGGGGTTTCATGTTTAACATGAAAAATCTTTTTAGATCAAGACTCTAGATGCAAGACCTCATTCTTGTAACGTCCCCAGGTTCAATGCTCTGCCCTGAATGTAAATGCATTCAATGGAATGTAAATGTGGAAACGTTCCAAGGTGGGAGTCTACCTGAGCTCCGGAGCTTCTGAAGGACCCAGTGCATAGGCTGGAAGCATGGCTCTGGGTTCTAATTCTGACCCAATTATGATACCTCCGTTTTCTCACCTGTAATATTGGAATCTCTCCATACTGCGTGAGGATTAAAAGCACAGTTCGCGGGAAGCACTCTATAGTGACAGTCGCTACAGTTATGATCCTTTTTTTTTTTTTTTTGGCCACGCCGCGCGGCTTGCAGGATCTTAGTTCCCCGACCAGGGATAGAACCCGTGCCCCTACAGTGGAAGCGCGCGCCAGGGAATTCCCAGTAATGATTCTTTTACTCCCTCCTTGTCTCCGATAAATTTCAAGTCCAGCTATGGAGCCCATCTCAGGTCTCTTACATCCATTTTAATCCACCTAACACCCTCAGTTCTAAGCAACTGCAAAACAGGGACAGGGTGGCCCAGAGGGCTACAGACCTGAGGCAGTCGAGGACTCCTTCAGTCCGCTGCGGCGTCAGCCTGAGGCCCTGGCCGACTCCCTACGGAGCCCTGCGCGCGGAGTGACGGCCCGCGGGGCCCACCCTGAGCGCTACACCCGTTTCACCTCAGCAAATGTTCACAAAAACCTGTGAGGTAGGCAGCGCTACAGAGAGAGAAAACTGAGGCCCAGGGAGCCTGACTCACTTGCCCAAGTCGACGCAGCTGGCGAGTGACTTGCCTTGGGGAACTGACTCCAAATCGCCTGACTCCAAGCTCTCTCCCTGTTGTCGCCCCCCGACCCCCTTTGCACCTACAGGGGGCGCAAGCGCACGCGCAGTCGTCGCAGCCGCGTCCCCTTTAAGAGGATTCCTTTTGCCTCCTCCGACCCTTTCGCTTCCGTTCCTGTTCCCACAATGCTGTGCGGCTGAGCGCCTCCGAGCCCGCTGGGACGCTGCGGGGGGACCCCGGCTGAGGCTGCGGCGGGGACGTGGGCTGCGGCAGGCCCGCGGCGTCGCGCGGTGCGGATGTCGGGCTGGGCGGACGAGCGCGGCGGCGAGGGCGACGGACGCATCTACGTGGGGAACCTTCCGACCGACGTGCGCGAGAAAGACTTGGAGGATCTCTTCTACAAGTACGGCCGCATCCGCGACATCGAGCTAAAGAACCGGCACGGCCTCGTGCCCTTCGCCTTCGTGCGCTTCGAGGACCCGCGGTGAGGGCCCCGCGCCGCCCGCCAGCCCGCCGGCCGGCCCGACGCCCCGGGCCCCCGCCTTCTCTCCTCTCCCCGCTCCTTTCCAGGGCTTCCCCTCCCCCCTCGCCGCAGACCCCTCACGGCGCCCCCGGGTGGAGGCTGAGGCCTCCTCTCGCCGCGGGGCTCCGGGCAGTCCTTTGCTCTTTGCTCCGTCACTTCCTCTATAATTTTTTTTTTTACTTAGAAACACAAAAGCCGGGTCTTGGGAGGGCCCAAGCCCACCCAGACCGACCTCAGGGATGGTACAGATGCCCGTTCTCTCCCTCGCGTCAGGACAGGCACCCTTCGGAGAAAGCGGCCCAGGGCTTGGGAAGCTTGGCCCCTGAGCCGGCCCGGAGAGGACTGGGTGAGGAGGGAAGGGTCGCCCTCCCTGCCCACTCCTCCCCGCAGCTGGGACTCGCCATTGTGGGGCGCACAGTGCCGGGGTGTGGATGCCTTTGGAGGGCGTATAGGGGGGCTCCTTGATGGAACGGATCTCCATCCACGCGCGCCCCGCCCCACACGGCCAGGGCCTCGTTCTGATAAAAGCGTCAGGGATTTGGGAAAACTTGTAAAACAGTCTGATGGGGGTCTCTGATTTCACTATTCCTTCTCTAATAAGGGAGGCACCGCTAGATGCTAAGGGCCCCGAGGATGTGGAAGCTCTAGATCCCGAAACCGGCTCGAAGGGGGTCTTTGTGACTTTGCAGAGTGTCGGCCCTTGCCCCAGAAAAGGCCTGGTAACTTTCAACACTGCGCTTGTTGGTTCGCACTGTGTTGGTTACTAGACTCGGGGTAAATTGGAGCCCGCTCGCTGGTTTCCAGCACTGGCAGAGGGAGCGCTTTGCCTATTCTGCGCCCTGCGGGCTTCACTAGGAGGACTGCTCGTGGGGTGTCCTGCCCATCTTGGGTGATACGAGGCAAGGGGCAGCGTCTGAGGATGAGGAGGCTGGATGTACCCTGAGGCTTTGATGGCTGAAGACTCTGACGGAGCTCATTCCTAGTGTCTTGCCATTTGCCTTAAAAAATGGAACTAGGCATTTTCACACACCTAAACTGGAAAAGGTTGTTCTATTAATTAGTAACAGTTCCCGTGTTTCTTAAGTTGCTGTGTGTCATGTGCCATACTATGTATTATTTAGCATTTTCAACAGTCTATAAACTAGGTGCTACTAATCACATTTTCAGATGAGGTAACAGGATTTAGAGTTGATGAAAGGGAAGGGTACTAGGGAAGGTAGGATTTGAATCTACTGCCCTGCCGAATACAAACTTACTGTATGGTATGTCGTCTTTTCCTCATTCCTTTCATAATGAAAAGCTATCTTTTGCTATCACTAGATGCCAAGTTTCAAGCAAAGCACTGCACACGTAGTATCTTATTTAATCCTTACAAAAACCCTGTGAGACAGGCATATTACATTCACATGTAAAATCTTGATCACATACTTACCCAGAGACAACTCCTAGTACGTAGCAGGAGGATGATTTGAACTGAGGACAGTTTTTATCAGTCTTAAACCCTGGCAGTTCTGCCTCTCTCTCACTGTATTATGAATATAGCTAGGGTTGAACTGGATGTGGTCCTCCTTGCTCTTAATCCTGGGACTGGAATCTTGATTAGTGTTTATGTGCCTGTGACAACTGAATGCTGCCTTCATTAGTATGTCTTCAGCTGTTTGTCCTCTCACCCTCTGAGGGCATTCTCTCTCCTATCAATATTGGAGAACCAGCTTGGTGTTCCTAACTCTCCTAGAGCCCTAGGAAAGACTTTAAAGTATTACTTTATTGGATATTTACCTCTTTTGATGAAACTGTACCCAGAGTGGTTTTGACAACTTAGTCCTCCAAACCATGCTGAAAAGGTACACTTGAAGGAATTCCATATTCCTCACAAAACACTAATTTGCATTTGTCTTTTGAGCCTTACCTCTTTTTAAATGGGTTTTTCTTTCTATAGACCTGAATGTACTAGGCCTTGAGGAAGAATATTAAAGAACTAGTGTGTGGTGTGCGTTTTGAGAAACAGCTCACCAAGGTTAGAGAAACACTTTTATTGGCAAAATCAGTCATCTGTCAACAGTTTATTTTTTTCTGAATTAGTTCTCTTATCTGTTTATCTATTCATTATCATTTCATACCTAGAGAACCCTGTGTGTGACAGCTGTAAAGTTTAATTCCAATATCATGAAAGGTCTTCAAACCAAAGCAGTAGTGCATCAAGTTCCGGGTTTTTGTTCTTTTGTTTGTTTTCTCACTTGAGGTTTTCTTTTTATTCTTGTTACTCATGTTCCTCACTGGGAAGTCAGTCGGCCCTCCTGAGTAGCACTAACTCCAAACTTTTCTTTGCAGAGATGCTGAGGATGCAATTTATGGAAGGAATGGTTATGATTATGGCCAGTGCCGGCTTCGTGTGGAGTTCCCCAGGACTTACGGAGGTCGGGGTGGGTGGCCCCGTGGTGGGAGGAATGGGCCTCCTACAAGAAGATCTGATTTCCGAGTTCTTGTTTCAGGTATGTTCCTTTCAAACTAAATAAGATGATGCATGTAAAATACTTAGCACAGAGTCTGGCCTCCAAGAAATGTTAGCTGTTATTCTTCAGTGCGTGGGATGTGTGGGGTTTTCTTTTCAACAGCCCATGCACAGTGACAGTCTGAAGCCCTGCCAGTGAGGCAGGTACCTTGCCAATGAAATTGCACTGATAGTGCAGCCTTGATAGAACATAAACTTTCTTCTTATAATGGAGTTTTCTAGTGTTGAAAGGGAAGATGGCAAAACCCCTTGAGCTGGAATTCTAAAGACATTTTCTTTTGGAATGTACCCTGGTGTTGGACTTGCTAGAAAGACATTGCAGAAGCCAGATTTGAACAAATTACCTAGCCTTGGATCCTAAAATAGGCCATATTTTGTGGTGGTTTTGGAATTATGTAAAAAAGAAACCAAAACTACAACTTGGGAGTCTTAGTGATTGTATTGCAAAGTATAGAACGAAATGTCTAGTGTTGACAAGTGATGAAATGCTAAGCTCAGAGGTTTATGCATCTTTTTGAAATATTAACACACTGGTAAAAACCTGGGGCCTTTTGCACACTGCAGGGGTGTTTTAGGGCCCTGGTGGAGTGAAGTGTATTGAGGAGCTTGGCACTTAGATGTGAATGTCACACAGTCACATCAGACTCCCATGGTGCTTGAGAGTGATACTGTCAGTATCTGCCTATCTGTGTCCCTTTGTAATTTTTTAACCCCAGAACTCTATTCCCTCCTTCAGGATGTCATACATATCTTTTTTTCTCTCCATGCTGCTCTGAAATCCTGCTTAGAAAACTATTAGGAAATGGCTGCAGTCCTGAGCTGTGAGCGGTAAACACAGCCTTTGAGAGCAGGAGCACATTTCCCTTTCATGACATCAGGTAGGGTTGTATGACTCCCGACTAGTTTTAGCGTCTGAGTCTTACCTTTTCCCCTACTGTATTGAAGAGTGTTGGTGATCTTTTAAGAGGTACTTTGTCTAGTTTGTCAGTCATTCACACCTACAAGAAAACAAACTTTAGATTTTTGTTGTGTTACTTCAGCTACACTTTGGTTATTTTATTGGATGGTTTCAAAATTCCCATGTCCTGGGAACCCAGTCAGGCAAGAAATAATTGGTACCGATAAATTTCATAATGGAAAAAATTAGAACTCAAAGTCTTGGGAGTTTGTTATTAATTATGAAGGACAAAGAAAGAGAGGCTCTGAATTCTTAGAGGTACTAAACCTATAACGGGATGAACTTCTTGGTCTGTTGGAAAGGCTTGGTCTCTGGAAGATTATCCTAGGACCAGCTTCTTATGGTGGTTTACCACACATACTTTAGTGTTCTTCTCTGGTTTTGTGTCCCTTATTAAAATTGTGATTTGGGGACCCTCAGGATTTAAAAGTAGTGATTGATGGAGAAGGGACCCTAGGTCTTGATGGCTCTTAACATAGATGAAGGATATGGCCTCTTTTCTTATGTTCTCTGTGCCTAGGACTTCCTCCATCAGGCAGCTGGCAGGACCTGAAAGATCATATGCGAGAAGCTGGGGATGTCTGTTACGCAGATGTGCAGAAAGATGGAATGGGGATGGTTGAATATCTCAGAAAAGAAGACATGGAATATGCCCTGCGTAAACTGGATGACACCAAATTCCGCTCTCATGAGGTGGGTCCCCACCTTCTGTTGAGGAGCTTGTACCTAGACCACTCCACCTGAAGCTGACCTAGCAGAAGTAGCAACAGGCCATGCGTTTGCCATTTGAGGACCTCACAATACCATTAAAGATCTATCTTACGTGGACAAAGCCAAGGAATTCATCATGCCTAAGCCCTGCAGGGTCATAACAGAGAGAAGTCTGCAGTCATAGTATTTTTAACCTGGAAAGAATACTGGTGCAGTCTGTCATAATGTGGTGAGCTATTCCATGATAACACCCTTTCACAACTGGCTTAATCTGCAGTGTCCCTCCATGAACCTAATTATTATGGCTCTCCCTCCTTTGGGTCTCGTCTGGGCTCTGCAAGCCAACCTCATCATCTCAGCCCTTCTAGGTACTGCTACTGGGGCTGAGTTGTCACTTCACTGTGTCTTTCCCAAAGTGATGCAGGAGCCTCTTTGAAACCTGAGCCCTTGGCATTTTCTTGTTGTTCATCACCTCACCCTGGGGACTTAGTTCTTCATGTACTTCCTTTCAAGTAGGTGGCTGCTGCTTTGGATCTCAGTCTGATTCAAATGGTGACTATTCCTCTGATACCACTGAGACCAGATACCAGACCACCAATTGGACATTTTTTCTGGTTATCCTGTCCTGACTTGCTATGGGGTTTAGGGATGTCTGGGGACATGAATTTCTGGGCCCATTTCTTTTTCTAAGGATTCATATAATTCCCTAACTTTATGGCTTGGAGGCTGCCTGGGTTGACAGTGCTTTTGCTCAGACTGTCCTCTAAGACTTGAATTTGCAGCAGAAACAAAACAGCACCTGGTTGTCAGTTATACTACAAAGCAGGGTCTCAGTAAGGGTAATCAAATTACTGACTTCACTGAGGGAAAAAGCATCTGGCTTCTTTCATCTTAGGGTCTTTAGATCTGAGAATGCTGGCTGAGGGCAAAGGGCCTGGAGGTAGGCCTGCCTGGACATGACTTCTCTGCTGCTTATTAAAATCTTAGCCGACCTACTCCGAACCCTGGTTCCTCTATATGCAAAATAGTCACAATAATAGCATTATCTTAAAAGACTTGCTAGGGGCTTCCCTCGTGGCGCAGTGGTTGAGAGTCTGCCTGCCAATGCAGGGGACTCGAGTTCGTGCCCCGGTCTGGGAAGATCCCACATGCCGTGGAGCGGCTGGGCCCGTGAGCCATGGCCGCCGAGCCTGCGCGTCCGGAGCCTGTGCTCCGCAACGGGAGAGAGGCCACAACAGTGAGAGGCCCGCGTACTGCAAAAAAAAAAAAAAAAAAAAAGTTGCCAGGAAGCTAAATTATGAAGATAACTAAGCATCTAGCCCAGGTCAGATTCTGGGGGTTAGTGGCAGGAATTCAGATATGTTAACAGTAGTAGCTAGTAGCTGAGTTATTTACCACGTAATCGAGTTGCCATTTATTTGTGTCACCTTGGACAAGAATACCTACCTCCTGCACTATTGCGAGGGTTTAATGAGATAGCATTGTGCCAAGCAAACAGTAAATGCTCAATACTTAACTATTATTGTTAGGCAGCCATGTTAGGTGTTGGTGTGCTTTATTCTTCTGGGTCTTATTTTTTCCTTTACCTTTTGTTTGAATTTCAGGGTGAAACTTCCTACATACGCGTTTATCCAGAGAGAAGCACCAGCTATGGCTACTCACGGTCTCGGTCTGGGTCAAGGGGCCGTGACTCTCCATACCAAAGCAGGGGTTCCCCACACTACTTCTCTCCTTTCAGACCCTACTGAGACAGGTGATGGGAATTTTTTCTTTATTTTTTAGGTGAACTGAGCTGCTTTGTGCTCAGAATCTACATTCCAGATTGATGATTTAGTGTCTTAGGACATTTTTTTAATTTTTTTTTTTTTAAGGAAATAAAACTACATAATTTCTACCAGGGCCATATTAGCAGTGAAACATTTTTAACTGCGGAAATTATGGTTTTGGTTCAGAAACAAGTTGTATATTTTTCACCCCTGATGATGGGAAAAAAAACAGTGCTGTATCTTTGTGGGTTGCTCTTCTACGGAGATCAGCTGTTACTGTGACTTAAGTCGGCCCATTCTGTTTAGAAATATATTTTAAACGTTTAGTAATTGACATGTGTGATTGTCCTTAATTACGTTCATAGATTTCACCAAACAGGCACACTGATATAGTAAAAAAAAAAAAAAAAAAAAAAAAAAAAAATCATTGAGTTGTAGTGGCAGCTTATACCCAGCTGGTAAGGAGCAGGAGTGGATTACTTTATTTGGGGATAAAGATGTTGCTCTGATGGTGGTCTGAGAACTTCAATCCCAAGGGCAGGTTCAGGGTTCTCTTATAATTCAAGGCCAACTGTGTAAATTAAGCTGCTTTAAAGAAAAGAGGGCGCATTGCAGATAGGGGAAGGGAATGGGAAGGCTAAAAACAGACTTTTAAAAGTGGGCACCAGCATAAAGATCATTGGGAAATTCTTAGCCAAAACCAACTTTGGCAGTTGGTTAGGGAAAAAAAAAAAACAAAAAAGTTTTGGTTCTATCACTTTCACTCCTAAATTTGTCTCATTTGTCCCTGGTATCTGAGCTTTAAAAAACAAAACAAACCCCCAAACAAAAAACCCCACTGTCTTGGGATTCTGTTCAGTTCAGTAATCATGGGGCAGGGGGCCTACCTTGTCACAGGCCCAGGACTAGTTTTTTTTTTTAGACCACTTTATTGAAATACAGTTGACCTGTAAAAAGCTGTACATTTAATGTATACAACTCAGTGAGTTTGGGGTTAAGTATACACACATGAAATCACAACCATGAAGGCCATAAACATATCCATCACCTCCCAAAGCTGCCTCCTAACCTTAGCAGGAAGTCAGCCCTCTGCTTGGAGCAAAGTGGGTACCCAAGAACAAATTTAAGTGTGTTCAGTAAAGATAAAAGGCTGCTCAAGTCAATGGAAGCAGCAACTGAAAAGGACAACTCAAGTTGTCACATAGTGATCAGATGCAATGTCTAACAGTTACATAATAGAAAAATTCACTTAAATGCAGTTTGGTAGACAGTCTTTTGGGGAGGGGATAAAATCTTCCATACAAAACAGCCTGTGAGTACACTTGATCCATTTCCTTGGAAACTGGCAATACCTTCTACTTCCGTTGGCATCAGGGACTATTTGCCTTATTTTGGCTAGATCTTTCCCAGTTCTGTCTTCAAAAGAGTTAGTTACTAAGAGATACTTAACCATCACTTTTTTCAGGTGACTGAAGGAAGTGGGAACATTAGTGTTCGTAACAAAATAGTCATTGCACTTCCACGTTTTTAGAGGGCACCCCTTCCCAGAATAGCTACTCAGCAGTGTGAGAAGGGCTCTTTTTCATCCAGCTTTGGCCAAGAGATATTACCTGTTTGAAAACAATAACAAAAAGGAATGTTATAGTTGAGCCTGCTTTCCAACTGGCTCTACACTGAGCTAACTGGTTTGTTATGAAAAATAAGCAGTGGAAATAAGTGTAGCTATTACACTGTTTTTCTAATTACGATCTGAAAGAACCAGTTATAAGTGAAGCGTAATCAATGCACACTTTTCAGTAAGTAACAGAGACAGGTTAATTGGACATTTATATGCATATGGGAGAGGACGGAGAGACTATGACTGTGAACTCAGTTTTTCCCAAGAAGCAAAGTCTGACACAAGGTTCTATTTGAGAAACAGCACATGTGATCAATGGATGTGTCTGCTGAAACAGCAACAACTATCAGACACTGAGATTGAGAGATTATAAAATCTTATTTCTCTCCACAGTTAACTGAGGTGGTTCAGTTAATCAGAGGCATGAGCTCAAAATTTTTTTTTGCGGTACGCAGGCCTCTCACTGTTGCGGCCTCTCCCGCTGCGGAGCACAGGCTCCGGACGCGCAGGCTCAGCGACCATGGCTCACGGGCCCAGCCGCTCCGCGGCATGTGGGATCTTCCCGGACCGGGGCATGAACCCGTGTCCCCTGCATCGGCGGGCGGACTCTCAACCACTGCGCCACCAGGGAAGTCCGAGCTCAAAATTTTTTTAGCTTTCCTTCCCATCCTTGCTTCAACCAGAGCTTTTCTTTAATTGGTTGGTCTTGATCAAAGAGGTATTCCCTGAGCCAGAGGACTGATGTTTGTCTCTGGAGGCTGCTCACGATGGTTCTCCACTGAGGGACATCTTCTGAACTTGAAGCTGGCACTTGGAAAGCCATCTACCTGGAGTGCTTAGGCTAGTCCCATTCCCCAATGTCCAGAGGGGTGCAGCAGCTCTGAGGGCTCACCTATCTGCAGTTCAGCTACCCAAGGTTCTGGGTTTTATTATTGGCCCAGAGTTTTAAAATAGTTACAGTGAGGTTTAAAGATGCAAATCTCCACACTAGGGGTTGCAGATTGATCACAGGATGCACCTGGCTTGCAGCAGGTATGTTTTATTTTCATGGTATTTTTTTAAATCTTGAATTAACACTTAAAATTTGGGAAATAGCACACAAAATGCCAGATGTCCAGGTTCTCTGGGAAAATGGGCTCCCATTCTTGCCTGGCACTGAATGAGAAGCAGCCCATGCCAGCTGCCCCTTTAGGCATAGCTTGAGCTCCAGATTTGCCACTCTACGCATCTCTCCCTGCCTCGGTCCTGTTTTTGTTTTGCTCATTCCTGTTAACACCTGGCCCCTAGAGGTGAATGTGACCCCTGGAATCTACTGCCACCTTAGTGTCACCACCTGTATATACTTTGTTTTTTGTTGTTATTAATACATGTATTATTTTTTTTTCTAGAGGGTATTAAATTGTTTATTACACATGATAATGGATGATACACAAGCTTCACTCCCATCTATATCTGGTACCATAATCCAATTTAGATATATTGCATAGGGTGTGCCAACAATCATATATTAATAATCAAAAAACTCCATGACTTGGCTTGGGTGACCCTTTTCATGGTGAACTCCAGGTCACAACACAGTAACTGTCAGTTCAACTACACCAAGGTTTCGGAAGACAGTAGCTTCTCCACCAAAGCAGGTTGTAAATAAATTTTGAATGGAACCTGGCATCACCCTGAAGGAGCTCTAACTTCACACTGTTGGGGTAGTTTTACCAAAATGGCTCCAGGGTAGACTAACTTCACAGCACATTAAAAAAGACGCGTTCATTCAGCGTCACGATCAGACTATTACGTTTAGCAATCAACAGCATGGGTGAAAAAAAAAATCTACATTAAAACCCTTTGTTGGAATGCTTTGCACTTTCCACAGAACAGAAACTAAAATAACTGTTATACACTTAGTCACAAATACAGTCGTCGAGTTTTTTTTGCCCATACACGTGAGTATTGTCTAAAACATGTCTTCTTTGTAGCAGCCAGGCCCTGCCACCACTGTGCTTGGCTGAGCTCACAAATCTGTTGTAACCTGTAGCTTCCCTGTCACTTCTCTGGCTCTCCTCTCCTGCTAAGCTTTGTTTCCTGGCAGTAATCAAAACCTTCTGCCACTGCCATAGCTACTGCTGCTGCTGGAACCACCATAGTCACCTTGGTTTCGGGGTTTGGCAAAGTATTGGCCTCCACCACCATAGGGGCCAGAACTTCTGCCTCCAAAGTTTCCTCCTTTCATGGGTCCAAAATTTGAAGATTGATTGTTGTAACTGCCAAAATCATTGTAGCTTCCACCACCTCCAAAATCGCTTCCATCATTACCAAATCCATCATAGCCATCCCCACTGCCACCATATCCACCACCACCGCGGCTGCCACCAAAGCCACCTTGACCACTGAAGTTTCCTCCACGACCAAAGTTGTCATTCCCACCAAAACCACCTCCATGACCACCACCAAAGTTTCCAGAACCACTTCGACCTCTTTGGCTGGATGAGGCACTAGCCATCTCTTGCTTAGATAGGGCTTTCCTTACTTCACAGTTTTGGCCATTCACAGTGTGGTATTTCTGAATGACAATCTTGTCTACAGAGTCATGATCATCAAAGGTTACGAAAGCAAAGCTTCTCTTTTGCCACTGCCTCAATCAGTCATGATTTCAATCACTTCAATTTTCCCATACTGTTCAAAATAATCTCTTAGATGTTCTTCAGTGTCTTCTTTAATGCCACCAACAAAAATCTTTTTCACAGTTAAGTGGGCACCAGGTCTTTGAGAATCTTCTCTTGAGACGGCCCTCTTTGGTTCCATCCACCTTGTGTGGCCTTGCATTCATGGCCACATCCACCTCCTCCACAGTGGCATATGTGACAAACCTGAAGCCTCTGGAGCGTGTGGTGTTTGGATCCCTCATTACCACACAATCTGTGAGCGTTCCCCACTGCTCAAAATGGCTCCTCAGACTCTCATCGGTTGTTTCAAAGCTCAAACCTCCGATGAAGAGCTTCCGCAGCTGTTCGGGCTCTTTGGGTGACTCTGACTTAGACGTGGTGGGGGAGACGTCAACGATGCTTACTCGGCGGCGTCCACAAGCAGAAGGGAGTAATCTCCATGTGTTTTTTTAATTTCCAGTTTTATTGAGATAATTGACATACATTGTATAAGTTTAAGGTGTGTAACACAATGATTTGATACATGTGTATATTGCAAAATGATTACCATGATATGATTAGTTAACATCCTAGAGTCACCATGCTGTACATTATATCCCTAGGACTTATTTAACTTATAACTGGAAGTTTTTACCTTTTGACTTCCTTCACCCTTTTGCCACTTTATACTTGTCAAAGTGCTTTCACATAGCAAATCTGGGCCTCACAATTCTTACTGCATTCTTAGTTTAGTGTGGGACAGTCTGTTAAGCCATTTTGGGCAACACATACCTGGGGGAGCCACAAAATACTCCTCCACAACGCGATGGGAGTTTTGTAGTAGTTCTTCAGCACAGTTGCCTTCTACCACATTGTCGGATCTCAAGTACAGACATCTACAAAACCAGAAGTTTAAGGTTACCTTCTCAGAACATGGCTTCTAGGGCATGGGTGGAGAGGGTCAAGTACGGGAGAACAAGGGAGCAGCATATTCTTGAGTTATAGTCACTGCTCAAAGATGGAGGAGTTGTACTCAACAGCAGACCAAATAACAGCCTACCATTTATAGATTCTCCC